AGTAGTAGTAGTAGAATAAGAAGTAGCAGTATTATTATATATTATTATTATTATTATTAGTAGTAGTAGTAGTAGCAGTGGTAGTAGTAGTAGTAGTAGTAGTAGTAGTGGTAGTGGTAGGAGTAGTAGTAGTAGTAGTAGTAGTAGTAGTAGTAGTACTAGTAGTAGTAGTAGTAGTAGTAGTAGTAGTAGTACTAGTACTAGTACTAGTAGTAGTACTAGTAGTAGCAATAGCAGTAATAGCAGCAATAGCAATAATAGCAGCAGTAGCAGTAATAGTAGTAATAGCAGTAGCAGTAGCAGTAGCAGCCTCAGCAGCAGCATCAGCAGCAGCAGTAGCAGAAGTAGCAGTCGACGTCGTCGGCGTCGGCGTCGTCGTCGTCGTTGTGGTCGTGAGGCTTAGCCGCAGTCGTCGTCAAATGGCTCAGGCAGTACAACCACCTGTTGATTTCAGGACCCCTGTTTCCCAACATATTCCAGCCGAAAAACTTGCCGTTGCGGAGGGAGAACAACACTCAGGGGCTCAACTATTGCCGGACGAACTTTCCGTGAAAATAGGGGTGGCGCAGACATCGCGGATCAAAATCGCTACCGGGTCAGAGTAAGTCCTTACCACGACAGGGTTAGGCGCACGCTGACAAGCTTTCAAACCGCAACGACAAGCTTGTTTCTTACACTGACGAAAGCTTAGGTTCAACCCTAGCAGTGTGTGGGGAAATGGGGCAGCGCGTTGGAATCACCATGTTGGCACCTTTACAGCTCAAATCTACCAAAACGGTGATTCCCCCCGAGTGATTGGGGAGGGCGTGAACACCTTGCTATGACAAGGAGCGTGAGGGAGCAAAGGCGGAACGTGTGGAGACTGCAAGTCGGTGTGGCCGTGATGCGGTGTTGGTGACCCCTGAAAGAGGCACAAACTCGGAAAGTACGAAGCATGATGGAGAATTGGCCTCCAAACTGGCCTGCAGACATGTGTTCGGCAAAATCTCCTGCTGCAATCACTTTGCAACAACGTCCACGAAAGACTCTGGTTGCGAGCCTTTGGTATGGTGTTGGTTTGGGTGGGGCAAACAGTCTCATCGTCCGGCTGCGTAGCAACAACCTTCATGTTTCTTGAATGGAACTCACTGGCAATGATGCTGATGTGTGCTGCTGATCCTGATGGGTGCTACAGATGCTGATGTGTGCTGCTGCTGTTGATGAAGTGTCGTGGTGAGGTTTTCATGCGCTGTCGTGGTAAACGTGTTTTTCGGTCGTGGTGCCAATCTTTCTTGTTATGGTGTGGGTTCTTTTTTGCTGTTGTGGTAGCAACGCGCTCTCGCTACCGGGTGAGCCTCGCTCAAGCTCCTACTTTTTAGTCGGGACAACAGGCCTCTGAAGGCCCTGCCCTCGCCTGCAAGGCGAAGTTCTGCTCTCCGCAAGTTTGAAGTGGCCGAGAGGCGACTTCCCAGCCTGGCGCCCCCTGGACCCGAAAGCCTTGGCTGACAGAGAGAGAGAGAGAGAGAGAGACCCCAAAGCAGGCCACTCAATAGTAAAAAGAGTGGTCGGGCGGGCCAATGGCCTGAGGGTCCCTCGCGGACCCCTACGCCCGGCAAAAAGAAAGAAAGAGAGAGAGAGAGAGAGAGAGAGCGAGGGGTGCGGGTAACCGTGCTCCTTTGGCTGTGTGGAAGAAGAGAAAGAGAAAGACAGAGAGAGAGAGAGAGAGAGAGTGAGCACCAGACTCGGACACTGGCGTAGCGCTTGTGCGC